CACACACACACACACACACACACACACACACAGCAGTTAAATCCATGTTGGACCAGGAGTTCTTCCTCTTTCCTCTGTGTGTACTTTTGTTCCTCGGTGTTTGGGGAATCCATTAGCTCAGAGCACTTCTGACAGTAACACATTTTTCATTCACTCCCTAACCAGTGCCAAAAACCTGTATAAATGTCTGAAGTGGGCCAGAGGTAAAGCAGTCGCTCTGATTAGCATCCTGCCTTCACCGTCACTGGAGACAAACAGCCTGCTGCATGTACAATACTTCAGAAGAAAAAACAGCTGACAGATGCTTCCCACGACCACTCCAGGGGGGAAAAAAAGAGATGTTTCCCTGAATTCCCTCATTGCTGCTGTGAGATAAGACAGAATTTAAACAAAGAATAACACGTGTTCTGCATTTTAAACATATCAGACTTCAGAGAGTTAACCCATGACTTCACCTTCTTTTCACTTGTTGGGTAAAAACTGTTGCAATAAAGCGAATGTGAAATCACTCCTGCGTGTCCAAATATGAACTGTGAACGTTCACATAGATTTATATAAAAAGGAAAATGCACATTCCTCTGGATACTTCAGTCTGCTTAGCTCTAAACATGCAAAGAGAAGGTCTCATTTTTCTCTTCTGCAGGGATCCACAGATGCATGATTAATTTTATTCATAGCTTTAGCCTCAGTCGACTTAGTCTACTATGGACTTGTTGTCTGCAGGTATACACACATTAAGTCTGTAACTTTGTGACCTTTTTAATGGCATATTAAATTATATTTGGGACCAAACATCAATGGAAAAAAACCTCATTAACATCCAGTCGTGCCAAGTTTGAAACACCTTCAACACAGCCATGTTTGCTTCTGCATTTTCAGGCCTTTAATATTTGTCATTAAAGGTTTGTGGGTTTGACAGAAGACTGGATGGAAAGATCTTCTGACATCTACAGAGTTCATGCTGTCTGATATTTCTAAAGCTTTACGATGTTCTCTGGAACACATTGCTCTACAGTCATTTTGTAAACTACGAGTTTGGACTGGCTGAAGCTGCTCAGGCATCCCCAGAAGCCTGTCTGCCTCATCCACAACAAAGGGATGCCGTGCAGAGTGATTCACAGTGCACGTGAGAGAGAGGAGTGAGACAATCCATTTAGATTGTTCTGGTTAATGACCGGATCATGAAGTCTACTGCCAGCAGTAAGAGGGATCCAGTGGACACTTTGTGGATGACCTTGAGCTCGTGTAATTATACCTACTCAACACCAGCAACAAAGAACCTGTTTGGCTTGATGCTGCGCAGCTTTCATGTGCCTTAGCAGCACGATGGATAAGAAGGTGGGACAAATGGTGATGTGAAGAGCAGAAAAGTCCAGCACCTTTGTTCTGATAAGCTCCGGAGCTCCAAGGAGATCAGCCAACACACCAAGCTGCATTCTATCAGCCTTACTCTGAAAACAGCATCTGAGCAAACAGAACAAGAAGATATTCTCGTGTAGTAAAATATTTATCTGGAACACATGAGGAAAAGGATGGAAAGTTTGAAGCAAAGTCCTGCATGTTAAACATGTTTTAAAATCAGAGTGTAGGAAAAGTCTCCAGGCAACAACATTTCTGAGTCATGAGATGAAAAGTAAGATAAAAATCAGCTCCTTGTTCAGGCTGAAAGCACCTGCCTGACACTAGATGTCATTTACTGATGATGCAGGTGAGTACAAGGTGAGATGAGACACTTCCTGCCAGAGGCACCTTTAAATCAACAGCATTATGGTCACGTAAGACACAGACATTACATGTCATGACTCACTGAAAAGTCGGATTTTTATCTTCAAATGCACTGCTTAGAAACTTGAGATAGGTCATTTGACATTTCTTTCCCCCCTTTTTTATCATTTGAAAGAAAA